TGGAAATTCAAAGACTTTAGTTTATTGAGACTTGAAGAGATTTTTCCATCTTTCTGGTATTTTCTTTCTGTCAGTTTGCATTGCTTCTTGCCTTTTCCTTCTCCTCCTCCGCCAGGTTTGGTTTTGAGCTTTGGATTCAAAGAAACCCCAAAGTCAAAACAAAATGGTCAGAACTGCTGAGTCTTGTTTTGTAACCTTTTTCAGTCAAGCATGCACTGGGAGAGAGGACGCTGACCAAAAATTGGGCCTCACTTTGCCCAAAATGTTGGCACACTTTGGAGAGCTTTGAGTGAACTTGGGCCAAGATATAGATATATAGAGAAATGTCAATACTTTTCTAGAAACATTTAAGATATTATTTAATAAACTACTAAAAACCTCTTTGCTATTGAGTCGATTCTTACTCTTAGGCACTGTGCAGGACAGAAGAATTTCTCCCGAAGTTTTTCAAGGCTCTAAATCTTTCAAGACCAGACTAGACTACCATATCCTGTTTCTGGCCAGCAGATAGGTTCAAACTTCAGACCTTTTGGTCCACAATCATGTGCTTAATCAATTGGCAATCTGTGCTATGTGAGAAACTACTACAATTTTATAAAACGTATTTGTAGGGCTATTAATCTTCTTGCTATTTTTAATAAAAAAAAAGTTACAGTCTAATTTATATTTGGTAATAAATAGAATCTCTGTGTTCTAAAGCTATAGGTACAGTTTGAAATCCCACACGGAAAGTGGATTTACATCTCTTTACTCTCTTTGACGTTTTCTTTAAGGATTTATATTTTAAAATCGTTATGTGAAAACTGTGCTCATAGAGTTTCATCTTGGAAATTTTATAGCTATGACATAAGCCTTCTACAATAGTGTTTTTATAATGGAAATGCTGACAAATGTGATAATGAACACCAATTCAAGAGTCTTAATTGTATGTTCATGAAGGAATTATGCATGCTATCATAATATTTGCTTCAGTTTCCAGTGCTAATTTTGCCAAAATATGTTTTTACATTGGGCAACTATAAATGAAGATCAGCCTGTTGATGGCAAAAGCTTCTGATTATTTTTACTTTCCTTGGAAAGTATAGTTATGTCTTTCAAATATGATTTCACTTAGACCTCTTTTTGGTTTACATGTCTGAATACTAATAGTAACCTGATAGTTATGGGGAACCAAATGGCAGTTTTCAGTCAGTAAAGAGTGTATAAATAAATCGCCTCTAAGCAACATCTAAGATGTCTAAAATGATGTTTAGACTCCAAATGTCCAAATAACTTTAAGATTCCAAAAACCGATTATTATAGTTTTCCAGAAGTAACTGACAGTATTAAGTTTTGCTGGCCTTGATGTGTGCTGTTTTTATTTCTATCCTGATGGAAGATATTGAAAGCCATTGCCTATCAATGTTGATTTTCAAGGAAAACATCAACGTAAATTTAACATACAAACAGATTCATCCTAGAGAGGGTTAAACCAAGCTGCTCCTTGGAGGCAAGGATTCTGGGGCTTCGTCTGACATACTTTGGGCATCTTGCAAGGAGGGACGGGTCCTTGGCCTTGGAGAGGGACATCATGCTTGGGAGGGTGGAGGGACAGCGCAGGAGGGGAAGACCCTCTATGAGGTGGATTGATTCAGTGACTGGGGTAATCGGGATGGGTGTGTCAGAGGCAGTGGGATTGGCACAGGATAGAGCAGGGTTTAGGGCTGTTGTACATAGGGTCGCTATGAGTTACAAGCGAATGGACGGCACATAACAATAATAGCAACGTATGTTATATACTGAAAGACTTCTATTAAAAAGTACAGTTATTTTATGGGCTCAACATACTTTTAAAGTAATCCAACAACAACAATGTCTAGAAAGTGCTGATTATGATGTTTCATCAGTGTGCATGGCTTTCTGTATGGAATATGTCAGTTCATTGTCTGTGTCGCTGATCTGAGTTTAATTTTTTTTTCTATTATTACAATAAGTAACAATGTTCTTTAAGAGATGTCATATTTTAGAGTGATTTATAAATGTAAAAATCTTATAAAGAGCAAAGAATTTATATGATGGAGCAGTTTTAAGAGTGATGAGTGTAATACTTCTAGTGATACTTGAGAAACATAGCTTTTCACTTAGAAGTTCATTGTATATCATTTATTATGAGGAAGGAGTCATTATAGGAACAATGTATTCTTGCTAAGAATACACTTACAGAGTAGGGTAAGAATGTGAAGGAGACAATTGTGATGAAATGCTGAATTCAATCTGCAGGATCCAGTGATTTGTTTTTTGTTTTCAAAATTTGTTTCTTCAACACAATAATAAGAATTCCTGTTTTGAACCAGTATTTTTGGTTGGTTTTATTTTGTTGTTTTGTTTTTTTGTTGGTTTTTTTTTTTTTACTTTTTCTTGGAGATTAAAAAAATGTGTTTCATTTTCAAGAAGACTTTAAATCAGAGAAGAAAAGGATTTTAAATGTTGAATGCTTTAAACCTATTTGCAAAATGTTGACACATTATTCTGTGAAAGAATGATAATTGAGTAGTTAAAAAGGAGAATTAGATGGAGGTACTAAACATCTCAAGAGAAGTTGGGAAACAGCATACTGTTGTGATGATTACAGAAGTAATGAATTATTTTTTTTTAAAATATCAACGTAAGTAATTTTAAACATTATATTAAAATATAGATAGGCCAGAAATTTGAGGAACAAAAGGAAAAAAGGAATGAAGTAAATAATTTTACACTTTAAAATCGAGATAGGAGTCTTTGTCTCAGGGTATAAAAAAGAAAAACACTCCTTGCTTTTACTATTATTTTTGTAGCTGATAATATTTTTCTCTTATCTGTGTATACAGTGGTTTTTATGGAAAAAGTAGAAATATCATGGTGAAAGACATAGTCAGATGAAGAAACATTACTCAGGAAAAAGGTGTCATTTCAGAATTTATCCAGCTACCATAAGAAAAAACCCCTAAGTGTTATTATTGTTAGTCACATGGGAGAAAAGCAAATTCCTGAGTGGAATGTGACCTGGTAGTCTTCTATGAATTTATAACTTCACTTGTTGGTATCTAATATTAGGAGATTATCATAGATTAGGAACCCCCCCAATCCTATCTGTAAGAGTGCTTTTTGCTGCATTGTTTTTATTCTTTTAAAGAAGTGTTCTATTTTCTCATCTGCAAGAGATTTGGTTTAAGAGAATTGTGAGACATAGATATGGCAAAACATAAAATATTTGGTATGTGAAGTCATGGGGAGAATTCTCATTTTATAAGACTACAAGAAGAAAAGTCAATATTTTAAAAATTCCCACATTTTAAACTATATTTTATTTATATTTGTATAGGAAAAGTGACTAGAAGAGCGGAAAAGAAAAATGGTAGTAGATGTGCCTTATGCTTTGTTTTTAATTTTTGTCTTTCAAACCTCCTACAACGAGTACATACTATTTTTAAGAAAATAAATTCTATTTCTTCGAGCACAGCAGACTATATAATATATATATATTCATGCCCACATGTACGTGTGGAAGTAATGCGTCCAGGAGATTAAGACATGGTAATCCTTTACGTGTATAGTAGAAAGGTGATCTACAATGACTTTACTGAAGCAGACCCTAAGGTCTTTCTTAGCCTGGTAGTTTGCCTGAGTTAGAGCTTAACCTTCTGCTTGGTAGTCACATCCTTAACCTTTTGCACCATCTAAACCAAAGCTCACTGACATGAAGTCCATTCCTACTCCTAGCAACCCTGCTTTGGGGTTTCCAGGGTATGAATCTTAGGGAGGGGACTGCCCATCTTTCCCCTGCAGAACAGCTGGCGGATTCAAACCGCTAGAGACCCTTGTGGACTTCACCATCTTCATCTGTCTGTTCCTCTCTGGAGGATTCCAGTGCAGGTCCAAGAGCAGAATGGCAGAGGGCCCGAATTGAAAGGGACTCTGCTTCAACATCCTCCTTATTGTACTCATTTTCCAAAGAACTAGAACACATCTTTAGATTTTCCGTCTTCTCTTTCCCCCTAGTGCTCTGAGCACTCGAGGATCTTACCTGCCTACAGTAAATCTCGAAAGTGACAAGTGCGCGCTCTGGCGGCGCTGCCTGGGGCGGGGAGGAGGCCGCAGGTGGGCGCGCAGTGAGGAGCGCGCAGGATGGGGCCTCAGCACTAACGCGGGGCGCGCCCCTGGCACCGACCAGGGGCTGATTCTGGGCGTAGGGGGCAAAGCCCGACCTGAACTTGGACGAATGCACCGGACTTGGTCCGGACTTGCTCCTTGCCAAGGCCCAGAACTCCTGGCCTCTCAGAGTCCACGTCTGAGAGCTTTCCACTAACAGGAAACACCGAACCAAACTCTCCTCAGAAAGACAGAGATGAGAAGCGAGGGCAGAGCCCCTTCTCAGTGGTCGTGCCTTGTCAACTCGCCCGTTGTGCCCCCCTCCCATGTGTCTTTTCTGTCCATCTGCCAGTCCGGGAGGGAGATCAGGAACACTGGGCCTCCCTGGAGACTCCCACACACTGCACCTTCCTCCCGTTCTTCTTTCCTGGGGGCGATAGTCCGGGGCCCCCCACCCCCGCCCCGCCACGGCCTCTGAGCTCTCATCGCGCCTCCTGAAGGGGAGAGCGCGGGCGACCACTCACGAAGCCTAGAAAAAAAAGTACTAAGTTTTACTTTATTATGTCTGTTTAAAAGAATAAAGTAGAGGGGAACCGTGGATCACTGGAGAGGCCCCAAGCACGCTGTAGGCGAAGGAGGATTCGTTATCCACCCAGCGGGCGGGCTTCGAAGATCCAAGCCTTTCTATCCAGTGCTGGGGTGCCCACCCAGGGTGCCCACCGCCTCTGTCCTGCCTCCATCGAGGGCGATTCACTGTTGGCGGGGCCGTGGGGGTTTTACACTCCTAAGCTCCAGGAGGCCGGATGTTGTGGCTGGGCGCCTGCTCAGTGCCTCGGCGCACCTACTGCAGGGCCTGCAACGCCCCAGGCCGGCGCTCATCCGGCAGCCCCAGCTCAGCCGGCCTCTTTCTTCTTGCAGCTCTCCAAGAGCTCGGTCATGAAGGAGATGTACACGATGGCCAGGCGCAGGGTCTCGATCCGGGACAGCCTCTTCTCATAAGCAAAAGTGGGCACCTTTCTTCGCAGCTGGTCAAAGGCCTCGTTGAGGTTGAACATCCGCTTCCTCTCGCGGATGTTGGCGGCCTGGCGCTGGGCGTAGGTGATCACCCTTTTCCTCTTGGGACGGCCCAGCAGGGAGACACCTCTCTCGCGTCCCTCTTCCTCCTCGTCTTCCTCCTCCTCGTCCTCATCGTCTACTGCGCCCTCCTCATCCTCCGGATCCCCTTCATCGAAGTGCACCAGCCTTCTGGGCCTTCTCTCCCCGAGCCCAAGGGCTCGGTTCCCAAAAGGGACCCCCGGCGCAAAGTCACAGAGTAGAGGGCCCGCCGGGGAGGCCAGGGACAGGTCTGCGACGAAGTCCAGCACAGTGGCGTCCACGTCCACGCAGCTCACGGGATAGGCTGCCATATAGTCGGCCTGGCCTTGAGTCTCATGGATTTCTCGAAGAGAAGGGCGAGGGTGGACTTCTCAAAGGCCTTGAATCTGATGCGGCACCATCAGCAAGGGCCAGAGGCATTAATATTTATAAATGAGCTGATAACAGGATTAGTCGCACTGTTAGGGAACGTTCTGACAAAGTCCCTTCTCTGGAAGCTGATGGAGAAAGACAAGCCTGAGCCGGGGTGGAGGCGGGGGTGGGGTGGGCACGCGTGGAAGACTCAAAGGGACAGGGCTCCACTTTGGAGATCCTTTCCGCTGCGCTACCCAGGACAGTTCCTTCTTGGCACCAACCCTCAGCTCTTACCTGCTGTGCCTTTTGTGGCTTTCCTTATCCCAGGCTCCTTATCTCATGTAGCTCTTTAATTTACGCTGGGATTTTCAAAGGGAGGGTGTTTTCCACAGCGCTGCCTTCTCCTGGGCTTCGGGCTAGGAGTCCTGAATCTTGCCACCCCAGGCTGCCAATGGAAATGGAACAAGTGCATGTGCTTTTAATGATGTTCTGAAGAGGGGCCCTGCCTGCCAGGAGTCACGGGGAGCTGTTTGCCCGGTATCCCAGCACAGCAGCGGATGAAAAGCAAGACCTTCCATTAGCTTAAGTAAGCATGGCAGGGGGGGCCTTGCGTGCATTCCCCGGAGTCGCTGTTGGAATCAGCTTTCTCCTTCCCCAGCACCGCAAACAGCCCTCCAGCCTCGCTACAAACTGTGACTTCTGAAGGCGATTTTGTTGCAATCAGTCTAACAATTGGGATACTTGACTTTCCCTTCCCTGCCCTTACCTCCTATCGTGTAAAGAGGAGGAATGTACATTGAGGGCAAACGTTATGGTAATAATGCGTCCCAATGTTCTGGCTAATCTTCTACACTGTAGAATACCAGCGCGAGGGGACAAAGCAAATCAACCCCCACACTCTAACAGAATTATTGTATTTTATTTTTTAAACGTGACTGACCCTTCGATAAACAAACCGATCAATTCGCTCACCCTCAGCAGAGGAGGTTTTCGATTTTTGAAATGCTGATTAAGTATTTGCTCAGGCACAAAGAAAAACTCTTAACACTTCCCATTTGACTTTTTCCCACATTGATTTATACCTTAAAACCAATCATTGGATTTATAAGCAGGAGCTGGGCTTTAATGAGTCTTGTAATGAGTGTTTAAAGGTTTGGCGTTCCCCCCCCCCCCCCCCCCCCCGCCTTCTATACTTAGATTTTTTGTGATAAAGAAATCTCAAAAGTTGGTGTAATGAAAACGGATTTTTAACTGATCTCATATTATCCTTATTATTTCAGCAAAGAAGGGTATATTACCCTTTTGATTTTTGCCAATTGCTGTGTTATTTAATTAGCCAATATAGGGATTTAAGACAATATCTAAGAGTAGATCAAACCTTTGAAAGAATTGTTTTTTAAGAGGATTAAAAGAAACCACCTGGAGAAGATGAACAGAGATTCCTTAGTTCAGAGAAGACCCGTTACGGATGTTCTTATCAAGGAGGGAAATGATGATTTGGTTAGTACATTGGACAGCTCCCAGAAACAGCCTTTTCTGACAGGTAAGCACAATTCCTTTCTGCTTTTTAGTCATCCTGTGTGTAAACAAAGCTATATTACCTGGAAGTTATGTCCTGGTTCTATTTATTTTATCTTTTTTACAAATTTGTGTCTGTGCTTTCTCTCTTAATTAATTGGGATTTGGGTGAAAGGGCAAATTAGTTTTCCATTAAACAATCTTAATACATTTTTGTTTCAAAACAGTAGTGTAATTCCTACAATTCCATTTCCATATCCATTTCTCCCCCTTTCTGCTTTTTGAGGGAACTTTAGTAGCCTAGTGGTAAGCACCTGCACTATCGGTTTGAAGGCACAAGGTTCAAATCCACTATCTGCTCTGTGGGAGAAAGATGGGTAATCTTCTGTGTGATTTACTATTTCAGAAAATGCAATGGTATAAAATCCCAGAGGTCAACTATGAGTCGGTTCTGACTTGATGGCACACACAACAATGTGCCTTCTGAGCTTTGTTTTGGAGCAGGTGCTGTCATTTTAGTCTCATAACAGTCTTGGCATCAGCAGCCAGGAAATTAAAAGGCGCATTGCCATGGGAAAGTCTGCTGTTAGGGACCTCTCCAAAGTACTGAAGAGCAATGGTGTCTCTCTGGAGACTAAGGTGCGTCTGATACAGGCCATGGTCTTCACAATCACTTGTTATGCATCAGAGAGTTGGACAATGACCAAGGAGGATAGAAGGAGAATTGATGCCTTTGAGCTGTGGTGCTGGAGAAGAGTATTGAGGGTACGTACCATGGACTGCTAGGAAAACAGACAGATTTCTCCTGGAAAGGGTTAAACCGGGTGGCTCCTTGGAGGCAAGGATTCTGAGGCTCCGTCTAACATACTTTGGACATGTTGTGAGGAGAGACCAGTCCTTGGAGAAGGACATCATGCTTGGGAGGGTGGAGGGACAGTGCAGGAGGGGAAGGCCCTCTATGAGGTGGATTGATTCAGTGTCTGGGATAATCGGGATGGGAGTGTCAGAGACAGTGCGATTGGCACAGGACAGAGCAGAGTTTAGAGCTGTTGTACATAGGGTCGCTATGAGTCACAGGTGACTCGAAGGCACATAACAACAACAACAACAACGGCAATAGTCCTCACAAATATTACTGTTTATTTTATAGGCCTGTCTATTGTTTTTCTGGCAATGGCATCCTGGGGGCGGGGGGTGGGGTGGTGGTGGTGTCCCTGGCCAGTCTCCCCCTTAGTACCTGAGATGGGGTGTGGAGATCAAGAAAGCTCCATTTCTCTCCCTTCCCGGAGTCTCAAAAGTATTTCTCTGGCAATGGCATCCTCATCTGGCCAACTGACTGGAAAAGAACGATATTTGTTCTCATTCCAAAGAAAGGTGATCCAACAGAGCTTGGAAATTATCGAAAGCTCCGCCTCTCTCCCCTCCCAGTGTGGAGATCAGGAAAGCTCCTCCTCTCTCCCCTTCCAGAATCCCAAACTATTTCTCAGACAATGGCATCCTCAGCTGGCCAACTGACTGGAAAAGAATGATATTTGTTCCCATTCCAAAGAAAGGTGACCCAACAGAGTGTCAGAGTTATCGAACAAGATCATTAATATCACATGCAAGCAGGATTCTGCTGAAAATTATCCAAAAACTTTTGGAACAATATGTCAGCCGAAAACTGACAGATGTGCAGGCTGGTTTTAGAAGAGGTCGGGGTACAGGGATATTATAGCTAATGTTGGATGGATCTTCACAGAAAGCGAAGAATACCAGAAAAATGTGTATTTGTGCAAAGGCATTCGACTGTCTGGATCACAACAAGCTATGCCTGACTCTGAGAAGAATGGGAATCCCAGAACATTTGATTGTGCTAATGCAAAACCTATCTATACTTGGACCAAGAAGCAGTCTTCAGAAGAGAGCAAGGAGACACTACATAGTTCAAAATCAAGAAGGGGGTCCGTCATGGATGTATTTTGTCTCCATACCTTTTAAATCTGTATGCAGAACAGATCATCTGAGATGCTGGGCTGTACGAGAAGGAATGTGACATCAGGATTGGTGGAAGAATCATCAACAACCTGCTTTATGTGAGTGACACAACTCTGCTCACTGAAACTGAGGATGACCTAAAGCACTTGCTGCAGAAGGTCAAGGACTGAAGCTTTCAATATGGATTGAAGCTCAACATCAAGAAAACAAAGATTCTCACCACTGGGCCAATTGGCAGCATCATTATGAATGGTGAAGAGATTGAGTTAACAGTTTTTGTTTACTTGGCTCCACAGTCGACACTCTTGGTAACAGCAGCCAGGAAATCAAGAGATGAATTGCATTGGGAAAGTCATCTGTGAGGGACCTCTCAAGAGTACTGAAGAGCAACAATGTCAGGCTGGAGACTAAGGTGTGCCTGATCCAGGCTATAGACTTTGCAATTATGTGCTATGCATCCAAGAGTTGGACAGTGAATAGGGATGATAGAAAGAGAATTGATGCCTTTGAGCTGTGGTGCTGGAGAAGACTGTTGAATATACCATGGACTGCTAGGAGAACAAACAGGTTTGTCATGGAGAGGGTGAAGCTCCTTGGAGGCAAGGATTCTGCAGCTTCATCTGACATACTTTGGGCATGTTGCAAGGAGGAACTAGTCCTTGGAGAGGGACATCATGTTTGGGAGAGTGGAGAGACTGGGCAGGAGAGAAAGACGATCGATGAGATGGATCGATTCTGTGAGTGGAGTGGTGGGAATGAGTGTGTTTGAGACGGCGAGGTTCGCACAGGATAGAACGGTGTTTAGGCCTCTTGTACATAGGGTTGCTATGAGTCTCAAGCGACTCGATGGCACACAACAACAACAACAACAACAACAACAACAACAACATCTATTGTTTGGCTAACCAATGGTCCATGGGGATGGATTCAATTCCAGGACTGAAGTGTATCTAATAATCACAGTCTTGAAGTTTCTAGTACTCTTTTTCAGACCAGTAATTTTTCTCTTATTATTTTGACCTTTGTTCTACATTATTATCACGTCCTGCCCAGGACTTTCTATGGACCATATCAGACCAATTGGAAGTGTTACAGGGCACTGGGCACCATCTAGTTCTTCTGGTTTCTGAGAAGCAGAGATTATGTTTCATATTGTCTATTAGTCCTTTAGAGTAATGGCTTAAATATTCCCATCCTCCCCCAGTCACCTTTATTTTGAAATAAAGGTCTCTTTTGACCTTTAATTGATTTTTGCTTCTCTTAATTTAGTCTTCACTTCCCAATTTGTGTCTTAATAGCATAGTCAAAGATTTATTAAATAAAGATGGCTGGGGTGGAGGGGGAAATTTAAGCCATTATTTGAGTCAGAGTGCTCTTTGAAGGCAAAGATGATACAGCTTCGCCTCATATATGTGGGCATGTTGCTAGGAGGGGGTATTTTTTTGAGAGGGACTGATATTTA